GGGAAAATATTAGTACCATTTGTTTTTAATCTGCCATTGATTGAGGCCCACAACCTGGTGCAGCTTCTCCCTGAGGCTGGGATGGAAAGTTACAGGGTCTGAGTGTAAGGGAGAGGACATGGAGCCAACAGTCAACCTAGAAAACAGACTGTAGTTGATCAGGTCCTTACCCAAACCCTCACAGAAACCTCTTTATTACTGAGACAGTCTCATGTAGCCCAGATTGCCCTTGAACTCATTATGTAGCATAGGTTAGCCTTGATCTTGAGTGGTGGGATTACAGGTGTGTGCCACCAAGTCGTTTTTTTTTAAGGAGAAGATTCTGTTCTTATAGCTGGCTCTAAATTTATAATCTTGCTACCTCAGTTTCTCTAGTGCTATAATGCTGGGATTACAATGAACTTTTTTTTTTTTTCTTTTAAATGTTTCCCTCAGAGAGGGAAGGGAAAACTCTGAGAAACTTTTAACTTGAGGAGACCTGGGTTTTAATTTCGACTTGGCCTTGGGTCAGTTACTTAATTGCTCATGACCTTGTCATCTCAGATTTAAAATGGAGATTTTAAATGGATATGTGGACAATATTTTGGACAGTACTCAGCACCTAGTGGATTCTTGGTAAATATTTCCCCTCCCATCTCTTTCTGGCTTTTACCACCATTAGCTGGTCTTAGAAATGGCTCCAGTTAGCTCACACGCAGATCTGTATTTCTGGTCTGTCCTCTGATCCATGATACCTTGAGATTGGCCCAGTCTCATGAGATTGCCAGTATCACCTGGGTTAGGGAGCATGTGATGTGGCTAGTAGTAGTGACGTTGTCCTCTGCCCTAACTTTCCTTCCCAGGACGAGAAGCTCACTGTGACCCAGGACCTCCCTGTGAATGATGGAAAGCCTCACATTGTCCACTTCCAATATGAGGTCACCGAGGTGAAGGTCTCTTCCTGGGATGCAGTCCTGTCCAGCCAGAGCCTGTTTGTAGAAATCCCAGATGGACTATTAGCTGATGGGAGCAAAGAAGGGTAAGGAGCCAGAGGGGCGGATGATTGTTGGGGATCCTAGCTTTATAGGGGAGTCTGTATCTTTTCCCTTAGCTCCAGACTTGCCAAGCAGATACCATTTTGTTAGAGGTTATTATTTTTTGGGGGGGTTCTTTTTAAGACAGCGTCTCTCTGTAGCCCTAGCTGTCCTGGAACTCACTATGTAGACCAGGGTGGCCTTGAACTCACAGAGATCCGCCTACCTCTGTCTACCAAGTGCTGGGATTAAATGCTTGTACCACTACGCCTGGCAGAGGTTATTTTTAAACAGTAAGTCAGACCTGCTCTAGGTTATAATTAAAAGCATACTGTTACCACATTAGCCAAATGTCTACCAGTTAATCAGCAGATGTCAAGTCCTCCTTGAGCTGCTACAAAGGTGCAGTTCAAAAGGCCAGAAAGCAGAAAAAATGGTGGGATTTCATTGGATTGGGCACTGTTCCCCAGGCAGCCTGTATGTAAAAATCAGTCCAAAGGACAGTTCACTCAACTGTTCCTAACTTCTGGAGGAAACCCTTTGGTCAGTGTCGAGGACTGGGAGTATGTCAGTGGAATGACAGACCTGATGAACCAGGTTCTCTTTGAAGGCCTAGACTGTTCTTGTTAAACTGCATAAGTTAAGATGCTTAGTGGTAACTGTCAGATGAAGAACTGTTACAGGAAGAGAATGTTTTTCCCTGGGATCTGTGGGCTATGTTTCTCATAACTAGGGGCCCCTAGCTGGGGGTCTTGAAATGAGAACCTTTTCCTGGAGAGTGTGTGTTACGTTTGCTGGCACTTAAGCTCAGAAAGCCTTGGGAGTGGGTATGGAGATAGGTCTCAGGGAGTGATGGTGGGCCTAAGCGCTGCTTTCTTATTGTAGATTGTTAGCACTGCTAGAGTTTGCTGAAGAGAAGATGAAAGTGAACTACGTCTTCATCTGCTTCAGGAAGGGCCGGGAAGACAGAGGTAAGACCTATAGCCCAGCTAGTGGGGTGTAGGGAGGCAAACAGAAGGCTCCTACACTGTGTGTAGTGTAGTTTACAAACCTGAAAAATTACAGGGTGTAGGGGAGGGGCCCAAGAACCTAATAGTTTTTTGTTCATCTTTGCTTGGGGTTTTCCCTGGACCTGAGCCTGTCATTATGATTTCCACCAGAGTCCCTTTTTATGCTTTCTTTTCTGCAGCTCCACTCCTGAAGACCTTCAGCTTCTTGGGCTTTGAGATTGTGCGTCCAGGTCATCCCTGTGTCCCCTCTCGGCCAGATGTGATGTTCATGGTTTACTCCCTGGACCAGAACTTGTCTGATGAGGACTAATGTTCATAGAGGATGCTTTGCCCAAGAGCCACAGTGGGGGAAGAGGGGAAGTTAGGCAGCCTGGGGACAGAGGAGAGGGTTTCTCGCTGTCTAGGGAAGGACATTGAGGGGCTCAGGTTGAGGGTTGCCCATTGTGTTCTCAGAGTTGACTCGTTGAAATTGTTTTCCATAAAGAACAGTATAAACATATTATTCACATGTAATCACCAATAGTAAATGAAGATGTTTATGAACTGGCATTAGAAGCTTTTTAAACTGCGCTGTGATGTGCTCCATCTAGCCTAGGGGAGGAGGACATTGCCTGGACGGGGAGGGACTGTATGGGTCCAGGGGCAAGGCCTGGAGGGCTGGTGGGCAGCACTGTCAGGCTCAGGTTTCCCTGCAGTTGGGGTTTATTTTTTGGTTTTTAAGACTTAGGTATTTTCTTTCTTTGCTTCCTGTTACCCCAGGGGCTCCTAAGTATAGGCTTTTTTCAGCTCCTGGGCAGTGTCCTTGGGTTGTTTTTTGACACTCCACCTGGGCTTCTCTGCATTTTGTGTCTGGCCTGGTGTAAGCAGGTCTGACCCCTCCCTGCCTTCTTTACAGCTTAGTGTTGTTATTCTGGCATTTGGTTAAGCTGGCTTAATCTGTTTAATGTTATCAGTATATTTTAAATAGGGGCATTGAAATTCACTCCCACCACCAGGGCTTTTTTGGGGGTGCCAGGGCCTTAAGAAACTAGCCAAACTACATCTCAAGTTACCACCTGGAGTTCTTGCCTCAGTGGCTCCCAAGGTCTCTTTCCTAGTCTCAAGAGCAGAGGGGAAGAATAGCAACTCAGGGTCTGGGATTTGTGGGAGTTATCTGTTCTTAGGGATGAGATGCCTCTGGCTGGCCAAGCATAGTACTGACTGCCTCCCCCAACTGGTTCTGAGCGTCCCTTGCTCTGCAGGGATAGGGGTAGGGCTGGGCTGTGGAAAGTGGCCTGCTCTTTACTGTTTTTACAGCTTATTTTACAAGAGTAAGGAAGAGAGATCTAGATTGGGTGTGGGGGTGTCAGAGAGGCAAGTGTGTTGTGTTACTGTGTCAATAAACTGATTTAAAGTTGTGGTTGGTCTCTTCTTTATTCCTGCTCTAGGACCAACTTCCTGCCACTACTAGAGCTTAACTCAATATAGGCATAATACTTGCTTCTCAGGGAAAAGGCCAATATGTAGCACAAACTGGCCAAAGTCTCTGGGGCCATATTATACTGTGAAATATGGAGTTGCTAGGAGTGAGACAAACTGAGGGCCCCTGGAGAAAAAAGTGTATACACATCACTCTCCTCTGTTGTAGAGGCTAACTTAGGATCCCAGTTCTTTTATAGAAGGCTGGGTCTTAAAACTGGTTATCTATTTGTCTGTCTATCATCTATATCAATCATCTATCTAATCTTTTTGAGACAGGGTCTCCCTGTAGCCCCAGCTGTCTTGGAACTCACTATGTAGACCAGACTGGCTTTGAACTCAGAGATCCACCTGCCACTATCTCCCCCTTTTTAAAATTTTTATGTGTATGAGTGTTTTGCCTGCACGTAAGTGCATCCATGTCGCACAATGCCTACAGAGGTCAGAAGAGGGCAAAAGAGTCTCCTGGAACTGAAGTTACAGACTGTTGTCAGCCACCATGTGGGTCCTAGCAATCAAGCCCCAGGTCTTCTGCAAGAACTGCGCCATCTCTGCAGCCCCTGGATTTTAGTTTTTGAAGGAGCTGCCTAACTTCATTCCTGAAGTCTTTTTCTTTTTTGAGACAGTTGCACTCTGTAGTGCCATCATATCTGGCTCTGAGATCTTTGAAGGAAGCAGCACACATCTTTCCTATTTCTTTTCTTTTTGGAGCCTAGTAGTCTGAGGCATGCCTTCTGGACTCGGTACCACTACCCTGAAGAATGATTTTGCAGTGGCCCTGGAGGGGAGCTAAACATCCTTTTCCCTCCATTTTCATGGACATGCTCTGGCACTGTCCCTTTTGCCTGCTGCACTCCTCTCTACAGGGGAATGTTCCTTCACTGCCTGTGGATGTGTAACTACTTTGACGTTTCTCTTTGGTCCATTTTCAAGTTTTCTTTTTTGGTCTTTTTGAGACAGGGTCTCCCTGTAGTCCCTGCTGGCCTGGATCTGCCTGCCTCTGCCTCCTCAACACTGGGATTAAAGGCCTGCGACACAGTGCCCAGCTATTCAAGTTGTTTTTAATGGAGCCAAGTCACTACACTTAAGTCCTTCAAAGTGAGCTCAAAACCTTCATTCCCAACTATTAGAACTGTCCAGGGATCAACTCTAACATACTGACTTGAAATCCGAATGGTTTGAAGACACCACAGATGACTCCCAGAGGTGGCCTAGAGACAGTAGGGACGTCAAAATTCAAATGTAAAGCCCGATAGTGTTTATAAGTAGATGGATAAAAAGAACTCAGTCCTTTTCTCCAAAGCTGGTGGAATGGAGGCAAACAGACTTGAGTTTCTGCTGCCATCTTGCTGAAGGTTCCTGTTTACAAGATTTCCCTTTCAAAAAACTTTGTCTATTGAAGACCACCGATAAGAAATAAACATGGTAAACAGGCAGCAGCACTTCAGTTAATAAAGCAACTCAGAAGGTAAAAAAAACGGGGCGGGGGGGTATGTGAAAGGCAAACTTTAAATTTAAGAACAGGGACATTAAAAACTTTATTCAATAAATACAACAAATAATTTAAAAATATACTTCAATTCCAAAGCCTTAAGAAAAGGAAGTAGAGACAAAGGGGAAAAAGGGGGAGGAGAAAGGTAGAGGAAAAGGGAAAGGTTAAATTGGTTTGGATGGGCTGTGTTTCAAGAGGTACCACTCTTTGAGTCTTAGTAAATAATCTTACCCAAACTCTTAGCCCTTGTTCTGAGAGGGTACCACAGGAGTCCAGGAATGATCCTTTGGATCGGCACACTTTGGAGGCTAGGATTGGTAGGGGTTGTGTAGGGTGGAATGTTGGGGGTAGGATCCCACTTGTTCCTAAAAACCATCCATTCTAACTTCCAGGCAGGTTTAAATAGTGCAAAATTTTAGGCGGAGAGCTCCCAGCTGCATAGTTCCACAGGTGAATGGCCAAAGCCAGGGCCTCTGGAAGACAGGTCCCAGAGAACTCAAGAGGTCCAAAGCCACTTTGGTGAATGGGATCGAAAGGTAAAGAGAGGTGGCCAACTAGAGAACAATGCTGGGCAGGTAGTCTGCACTGCTGGATTCAATAGCTTGCTTCAGGCAGGGAAGGTGAAGCTGAGAATGCATATGGAGCAGGACTAGGGAAAGCTGAGGGAGAACAGAAAAGTTGGGAGGAGGCGGCAGCTCAGCAGCAAACTCCAGAGAAATAACCAGCAGCCCTCACAGATTTGTGATTGTCTCTTAAAAAGATTTATTTTCTCTTCTTGCCTGAATGTACAAAGGCAAAAAGAGTACAGTTTGTATATATATATATTTATATATATATATAAAAAAACAAGGAACTTGGTAATGTACACTTTACAGAAGGGAAGAATCAGGAAGACTGAAATTAAATCCAACAGAGCAAGCCAATGGAACAAAAGCTATGAACAGCAACACTGCCCCTCCAGCCCGGGCCTCCAGCTTGCCCCAACCTGCTCCCAACAGGAGGGCTGAGCACCAAGGCAAGCGGGTGGGCTGGGGCAGGAGGGGCTGGGGACAAAGGCCTGGGAGGGGCTTGATCCCAGGAGGGGCCCATGGCAGGGGATCACTGGAAAGTTTCCTGGGATGCCCTAGTAATAAATGACAAAAGCCCAGAATTATGGGCCAGCTAGCTGCCCAGTTGAATCTTGGGGGCATCAGAGTACACAATGGGGCGATGATAGGGTTTATGGGATAGGAACATGAGGGGCCTCAAAACCTGTATCCAATTCTCTAGCCCTTCTGCAGTCTTAACTCCCAACCCCACCCTGGAGCCTGGAGAGGAGATTCATGAAATGATTACTTCATTTCAGAGGATGCCCTCTTAACCTTCTGTATGTGGTTCTTTGAACTTGAGGATGTATGGAGAGCACAGGGTAAGCAGAGACTTCATGTACATGTACATGTGTAAGGCAGGGAAGGCCTGAAGGGAACTGGCACACCATCAATGAGGAGGAAGCAGGTATGAATTCTAAACAGCAGCTGTCAAGCTTTGGCTGCCCTTCCTGGGATTGAGCTCCTTACTCCCTGGAGCTACTCCACAGGGGGCCCAGAGAGCATTAATGCTGAAGGGCCTAGATGGAGGTGCTCAGAGAGAAATAGGCTTGGTTTGGTGGTCTGAACCCTAAGCATGAATCTTTTCTGGCTTTTGCCTTGCTGAATATCTTGTCTGTTTGTAGGTGCCACAGGTAGTCCTCCCTGTGTAGCCTGGAGGTGGATGTTTTATCACTTGCCAAGGATCTCCACATCTGCTGCTATCTGATACTATTTCAGGGAGGGAAGACTGGACTCAGTATGGTTAGGGATCAGGAGGATCAGCTGAGGAGAAGGCAGTGTCATTCTGCTACTGCTACTTTCTCCTCTTCTGGACAGCACCTATTCTTCAAAGGGACTTGGATAGACGGTTCAAAGAGCTAAATGTTTTTTTAAGGGGAATGGGGAGGAGAAAAGCCGTTCCATTCTGCAGAACCTAAGGCTGCCCTCCTGCAAATACAGAAATTTTTCTTCTGTTACAGAATGAAGTGGAAGGGGCAGGAATGTAGGCCATGTCCACCCAAGTGAGAAAGAAAATTGCTCCAATGGTTTCTTTACAATATGTACAAAGCACGTTGCAGGTCAGTGCCCACAGATACAAAGCACACAATATTTAAAAACAAACAGGAACAGATGGGCACTTGGTTCTACTCACTGGAGCCTGGTAGGACATAATCAGGCTGAAATTCAGTCACTTTAAGTAGGGGTGACTTGGGCTAGGTAGGATGAAGGTGTCCCCAACAACTACTACTGTAGACAAAAAAGTAAGTCACTGCCCAACGCACTGCCCCCTGGGGCTGCAGGAGGCAGAGGGAGTGATGGTGGTGAGGAGGCTGCTTGGAGTCCTGCCAACGGGTCTAAAACAATGGAAATTTTGCAAGTGCTCAGAACTCGAACAAAAACAAGGACTTAGAAACCTAGAGGAAGGGTCTGTGGGTCAGAAGGGCTCCTTTTGGATGAATGATCCTAAGCCTTTCTATGTACAGGGCTCCAGGATTCTTGGTGACCACCTTTTCCTGGGCATTGTGCTTACTGTCCTCTACCTCCCCACTTTCCAAAAGAAGTCAGAGTCACTTTCCTTCCTGCTGTCACTTTTTGGCACTCTGGTCACAAAATACCCTCCTTTAGCCTAGGCTCGTGTCTGAATCTTTCTCTCTTGCAATCCAGAGGGTCAAGGAAAGATGGGAGGGGAGGAGAACAAAGAGATGATACCTTGCAAAAGCAAAGAGCTAAAGTGTCCCACACCTTGAGGAGGAAGTGACTCCAATAAAGCTTCCAAATCATTACTTTCCCAGCACAGAACCTTGCAGCTTAGACCCAGAGAGACTGCTTTTCTCAGAAGAGCAGACACATGTCTGCTGCCTCAAAGCCTAGCCCCACTGAGTCTACTCTGTGGCTTGGGTACATAATGCTTGGATACTATTTCAGGATCTGAGGAGCAAATAACCTCCCATGGCCAGTGGCCCCTACAACAAAAACGTGCCTTACAAAGACACATCTCATACTGGCACACGGGGTTACAGATTGAGCTACATAAAATTGTGTACTTGCAGAGAGAGGAATTGGGCTGTATATATTTATGGCCCTAAATGAGAAAGATACTCAGATGGTGGAACAGACAGGCCTTCTCATAAGAACGGCTGGGTGTTCCCTGGGCCTACCTTCTGGTTTGTACCCTAATGTGATATGGCAGACTCCAAGGTCATGCTGGGAGGAATTCTGTTTTATCTGCCTGAGCCAAGCAGTGGAAAAGAGGTGAGATCAGTATGGGAAGCCCCCCTGGGAAAGGCACCAAGGGGTTATGAGGGTAAAGAAGGGGCAAGGAGTTGAGAGATGAGAAGCAGCAGGAATTTTGGTGAGGAAGCAGGTTCAATTTCACAGACTCCATTCATGCTCCAGCTCCACCTCCCTCCCAGTATCCCTGGGGAGCCCTGTGCTGGGGCTGGAACCTCTGCCTTCTGCCTGACAAGTAGCACAAGGCCATGGAGGGGCAAATGCTTTAGTCTTCCTTTCCAAGTTAGGCTCTGAGCATTTATCTGTGCTCATGTTAGAGGGGGAAGACTCCATGTCTGAAGACTTTGTCTTCACAACTACAGAGAAAAAAGCCCCCAATTTCTTTCCTGAGATTCTAATTCCTCCACGTGCTGCCAGTTCCCAGGGCTCAAACCACTGAGGAGATGCAGAATCCGGTTGATGGTGGTAATGACGGTGAGAGGGGTATGGCTGCTGTGCTGTCTTCAGACCTTACCCAGTGCTTGGGATCCCTCCCAGGTGTGTGTGGGGTACTGCTCTCAAAGCAGACCAGGGGCTTGGGGAACAGAGCAGTAACTTCTCTGGGTTGAGGCTGTGTTTCCTCTGGCTGCTCCCATGCCTTCGTCTCCACAGATGCCACAACAGTCTTAACTGTGGCTCAGAGAATAAATATGTTTGCAAAGTACCAGTTCTCCAGCTCCTGAGGAAGAGGGAAGGTCAGGGAGTCCAAAGGATCTGGTGGAGGCGAGACAGCCAAAGGTCTGCCTTTAGCCATCGTAGGAACGGCAAACAGGATGATCAACACCATTTAACTGATATTTAAATGGTGTGTTCAGCACCACCTCAGGTGAGCCAGTCTGGCCCATGAAGCTGACTTTATCTGGGCACTTGGTGTTCTGCAAAGGAAACATGAACAGTAAACAGGTAACTGGCCTGCTGGTATAACAACCACAAGATGGCACTCCAAGAAAATGAACTGGGGCTGGCAAGATGGCTCAGCAAGTTAAGGGTGCTTGGTGCTGAGTCATCTGATGACCTGAGTTCAATTCTTGGAACCCACACAGGAGCGAACTCTTGTAAGTTGTTCTCTGACACACATACACACACACACACACACACACACACACACACACAACTAAATAAATATAAAAAAATGAACTGCAGGACAAGTCAGCCAACACTGTTCCCTCCACAGGTTTTCTCAGATATATACACCTTCATAAGAGGTCAGAGTCCATCTTTTCCTTATGGTTGACCCCACACAGTTATCCCTCACCTGGGCTCCACAGGGATTCTGTGGTTCAAGTAGCAGCTTCCCTTGTTAATTTGTTGTTCCAAGTTAACAAAAACTACTTACCATTCTCACCTCCTGGGGGGTGGGTAGAGTGAGGGAGCTGAACCTTGCTGGCTGGCAACAATGGCTGTAGAAGAAAGCCCTGAGCAAGTGGGAGAACAGATTTAGTGTAGCACTCAAACAAGTTCCCTTCACACTTCCCCTTTACCAGTTGGCTGAGCAGAGGTAGGAGTTTCCCCTTGAATTCCCTTAGCGCCACTGAATTTTTGGGTTGCTGACAAAAAAAAAAAAAAAAATTGATACTTGGCCAGATATAGTGGCTGAGGATTTATAATACAGCTCAGCTTTTTAGCTACTTGTTTCTCTTTGGTGGTAGAAACACCTATTCCTCATTCTACTGAATATGAAAGCCCACAAGCTCCAGGGAGGAAATAAATGTCATATGCTCAATGTAGCAGATTTAAGACTCAGGACAGATTAGAGGTTCTTTTTGCATTAAAAAAAAAAAAGTACTGGGCTGGAGAGATGGCTTGGCAGTTAAGAACACTGACTGTTCTCCATGAAGACCCAGGTTCGAATCCCAGCACTCACATGGCAGCTAACAACTGTCTGTAACTCTAGTTCTAGGGGATCCAACAGCCTCTTCTGTCTTGGGCATTGCACGACACGGATGCTCTTACCTACATGCAGGGATTACACTCATACACATTAAAAAAAAAAATTAAAAAAAAAATACCGTATATCTAGGCTTGGTGGCGCATGCCTTTACTCCCAGCATTTGGGAGGCAGAGGCAGACCCTGGTCTACATAGTAAGTTCCAGGCCAGCTGGGGCTACGGGGAGACCCTGTCTCAAAGAGACCAAAAAAAAGCACTTTATGTTTATTTTATGTTTTTTTTTTTTGGTTTTGTTTTTTTTTTGTCTTTTTGAGACGGGGTCTCCCCGTAGGCCCAGCTGGCCTGAACTCACAAAGATCCGCCTGCCCATGCCTCCCAAGTGCTGGGACTAAAGGTGTGTGCCACCATGCGTGGCTTATGTGTTTGTTTTTTAAGACAGGGAGTTTCTTACTCTGTAGCCCAGACTGGCCTTGAACTTTATGTGTATTGTGCATACATGTGTTTGTGTGTGTGAGGTTGTAGAGGTCACAGGACATCCTTGGGTATCATTCCTTAGGTACTTTAGATACTTTCCATCTTTTGTCTGAGATAAGGTCTTTTATGGTCCTGGATCTTTATCAAGTGGGCTAGGCTAACTGGCCAGCAATCTCCAGGAACCTGCCTGTCTAGCCCTTCCATCTCCCCATTGCTATAATTAAAAGGATACACCAACACATTTGGTTTTTATGTGGGTTCTAGAGATTGAATTCAAGTCCTTGTACTTGCAAGGCAAGCATGTTACCAACTAAGCCATCTCCCTAGCCCTTCTTGAACTTATTTTTATCCTCTTTCCTCAGTCTCTTGAGTGCTGGCATTACAGGTATAAGTCACCATGCTCAACTGACAAGTTTGAGGGTAAAAAAAAGATTCCCCTATAGGATAGGGGCCCTTGCTACAAGAACTACCACCAGAAACAGACACAGGCACACACAGACACACACATGGTGAGGAAGAGCCTTACCTGCTGCATAGGGTAGGTTATACTGTGCTGGAAGCAGTGAGTAGCCCAAATGGTGATGGTGGTGGTGTGTGGACATCAGGCGCTGGGAAGGAGAAGTGCGGGGCCGGTCGACAGTCCTTTCACCACCTCCTGTTCCCCCAACACTGCTACAGCTGCCACCACCCCCAACTACCCCACAGCCTCCCCGCTCTCTCTCCTGAGAATTTTTATCACTTATCTGGAAAGGAAAAGAGACACACAAACGTACTATGAGATATATACATACTAGTGATATAACCACAGGCCTGAATTATAACTAAAAAAATTACAGAATACCTACAAATAAGGAGTGGGGGATACTATCAAGTCAGCCAAGTCCTACTGTGGGCAGGACCTGAGCTTGCCCACCTTCCCCCATCCCTGAATCTGACCTTATGGATAACCAACAGGTTGCTGTACTTCCCTTACCGTTGGAGACTTGCTCTTGTAGTGACTGGCATGCTGTTGCAAGATGTCCAGGGCCTTGGATTCTGAACTGGATTTACAACTCACACTGGGACTGGCCCGTGCCTTGTCCACATCATCACCACCTGAGACCTTGCTTCCATATGGGGAGAAAGAATAGCTGGAAGGCAAGTAGGAACCTGGGGAAGGAGAAATCAAGCAGTCAAAGAAACAAGGGCAGTGAAGAAACTGTTCTAGTGAGCTTGGTCAGGTTGGCATTGGCTTTCCTAGGCACAGGTGGAGACGTTTCTTACCATGGTGATGACACTATTGGTGTGCTCTTCTTTATTTTTTGGTCTTTTTTGAGACAGGTTCTCCCCTGTAGCCCCAGCTGGCCTGGAACTCACAGAGCTCAGCCTGCCCCTACCTCCCGAGTGCTGGGATTAAAGGCGTGCTCCACCACGCCCAGCACTTGGTATGTTCTTCCAAATTCTATAGGAAAATTGGGTCAAAGGATATAAGGATACTATATAAATATGGCATTCAATTTCTCAGAGCTGAATTCCATAGATCTTCTATGACTTCTAAAGTAATCGCATATTCATATGAGAAGTAGAAAGATCATAGAACTTAAAATCAGATAGCTATGGCTTAACTCCTTTGAACAAATTAACCTGTTTGAAGTTTTTTTTTTGGTCTTTTTGAGACAGGGTCTCTCTGTAGCCCGAGCTGTCCTGGAACTCACTATATAGACCAGGCTGGCCTTGAACTCACAGAGATCCGCCTGCCTCTGCCTCCCGAGTGCTGGGATTAAAGGCGTGCACTACCACACCTGGCTTCAAGTATTTTTATTTATTATCAAAATGAAGATATCACCAGCTACAGCTAGGTGTGGTGGTACACATCACCTTCAATCCCAGCACTTGGAAGCCAGAGGCAGGTGGATCTCTGAGTTGGAGACTAGCCTGGTCTATATAGTTCCAGGCCAGCTGCAGCTCCTGGGAAACCCTGTCTCAAAAAACAAAACAAGGGGGGCTAGAGAGATGGCTCAGTGGTTAAGAGCACTGGCTACTCCTGCAGAGGACTCGGGATCAATTCCCAGCACCCACAGGGCAGCTAACAACCATCAGTAACTCCAGTTCCAGGGGAATCCTCTTCTGACTCCGCAGGCATTGCATGGCATGGGTGCACTCACATACATACAGGCAATATACTCATTCACATAATAAATAAAACATAAAAAAAAAAAAAGATTACATGAAGGGGTGGAGAGATGGCTCAGAGGTTAAGCACTGGCTGTTCCTGCAGAGGACCCAGGTTTGAATCCTAGCATACACATGGCTGCTAACATGGTAATCTAATTCTAGTACTTGGGAAGCAGAGGCAGGAGAACTGTTTTAAGAGGCTAGCTTGAGTTACACAGTAATTTCTAGTAAAGATTATGTGGCAAGAGCACTTTTGCAAACAAGCAAGCAAAGACAACATGAAGCTAGGTGCATATGCATCTGTAGTCCTAGCATCAGGAAAGCTAAGGCAGGAAGAGCATGAGTTCAAGGTCAGCCTAGGCTACATGGCCAGAACTCATGTCAGAAACAAAACAGGACTAATGAGATAGCTCAGCAGGTAAAGGCACCTGCCACCAAAGCTGACAACCTGAGTTCTATCCCTGGAATTCACATGTGAAAGAAGAGAACCAATTCTTTCAAATTGTCTTCTGTCCTTTGCAGTTGCACGGCATGGGTGAGAACCCACATGCAACAAACAAAAAATAAACAAAATAAAATCGACAAACCAAAAAACCCAGAGTCTGGGGTGATGGTTCAGTCAATAAATTGTTTAACAGGAGGACCTGAGGTCAGATCCCCAGAACACATGTAAAAAGTTGGGCATTTTGGTACATGCATCTAATAATCCTAGCCTGAGGAGGCAGAGACAGGAGAATACCTGGGGCCCACTGGCAAGTCAGTTTAGTGGAATCACAAAGTGCCAAGTAAAGCTCTGCCTCAAAAAACAAGTTGGAGAATGACTGAGGAAGATATCTGACATTGACCTCTGACCTAAGCGCATGCATGCGTGGCACATGCACAGACAAGAACACATACAAAAGCGAGGCTTGATGGGCACATGCCTGTAATTCCAGTACTTGTTAGGCAGTGGCAAGAGGACTGAAGCAAATCTGAGGCCAGCTTAGACTACACAGTGAGTTCTAGGCTAGCCACAGCTACATAAAAGACTGTCTCAAAACAAAAACAAACACAAAAACCCAGAACAACAAAAAAGGAAGTGGTGCCTGAACCACACTAGCTCTCAGCAAATGGAATTGTTAAGTTTTTTTTTGTCTTTGAGACGGGGTCTCCCTGTAGCCCTAGCTGTCCTGGAACTTGCCATGTACTCAAACTCACAGGGATATACCTGCCTCTGCCTCCTGAGTGCTAGTATCAAAGGTGTATGCCACCACACCTGGCTGGAACTGTTATTTTTATACAGATGGTAAGGAGCATCTTTTTCCTGTATCTATCTGAAAAGCTTACTTGCATTTAGAATTTATCCTATAATAATGTCAGCAGAATGTCAAGGCTGCAGGAGGAGTGAGTATTCAAGTTGATCTAAATGTAAAACAGAGATTACCAGTGGCTGAGAAAGCGTAGGGTAGGAAGATGAAGGGAGGTTGGATAACAGGTATCCAGATACAGAAGGAATGAGTTCTATGTTCAGCAGCACAGTGGAGTGACTGGTTCATGATAACTACAGTTAATGAAGCATTAGGAGAGAAGAGCACAAGGCTCTAAGAAATGACAGGGAAATGCTGTTTACCCTCATTTGACCAGTAAATGCTAGATGCTGTATATGTGTTCAAAGACCACCTTGTGGCTGGGCATGGTGGCACATGTCTTTAACCCCAGCATGCAGGAGGTAGAGGTTGTGGACCTCTGTGAGTTTGAGGCTAATCGGTCTAGTGAGTTCAAAGCAATACAGGATCACATAGTGAAACCCTAACTAAAAACAAAAAACCCAGAAAACACCCCAACCATTAATATGTATAATTTCATGCTAATATATGTATAAATCAACTAAAACAAACTGACCTTTCACCCCTAGAAGATTCCTACATGGTTTTTCAGGTAGTGAAAACCAATGAATAGAGCTGAATATGAGCATTTTTTTCTAACAAGTTAAAAAATATTTAAACCCCATCGAGAGCTTACTGACAGCAGTATAAAAACTAAATTTTTCTCAAGCTGAACTTACTAGACATCCCCTGCAACCAACTTCAAAATGCTCTTCCCATCCCTGACAGCCTTCTGATCTCACAGCTGAACATGATCTCGCAGCTGAATACATGCATTGTTCTGGTTTAAATGTTTCTTGTTACACGTATCGCTCCTGCTCTCATTAAGTTGTGAAGTCCCTGGGTGGTGGGAACCAGTCTTTTCTAATTCTTTTGCATCCCTCACGGTGCCTTGCCCATTGCAAACATTAGAGTGTATGTCTAAAGAAATTCTAGCCGGGTGTGGTGGTACACACCTTTAATCCCAGCACTTGAGAGGCAGAGGCAGGTGGATCTCTGTGAGTTCAGGCCAGCCTGGTCTACATAAGTGAGTTCCAGGACAGCTGGGGCTACAGGGAGACCCTGTCTCAAAAAAAAATTCTAGCTGAAAGAAGATGGCTGCAGTACGCAGAAGTTTTACCATCAAGAAAAGTTGATAGTAGAGGCAACCCTACCTGGAGCAAGAGAGGTGGCAATTAGGGTCATTTGAGCAGCTCTGGGTTAGAATGGCAACGTCACAACATGATACATTAAAAAAGGGCTGTCATCCAAGCTGGTCTCATTGAGCTGCAGAGCTGAACAACAAAGCTCTGGATTTGAAAACTGTGTTTCGTCTCCCCTGTGAATGTAGCTATAGCTAGGTGCTGTACCTGGGTAGTTCTGCATCATCACAGCAGGCATGCCCCGGTAGCTGGGGTGGTTGGGGTCATAAGACTGGCTGTAGGAGTAGCCATGCATGTAGGGGATGTAGGACTGATGCTGGGTGAGGGGGGAAGACACAGGCACATGGACACTTGGCCGGGGCTCCTTGCTCCCAAGGCGGGACTCTTCGGACGTGGGCAGCTTGCAGTCACTACTTGTGCTTTCCTTCCCATCTTCCTTGGGCACAGAGTCCTTACTCCGACTCCTTTCCTCCTTTAATTTGCGGTCACGCTCTTCCTTCCATCGCTCATCCTCGGATTTGATGTCTGAGTACTTTGCAGGATAAACATATGTCCACATCCGGGGCTCTGCTTCCTGCAATAATCAGGGAATGGATGCTGTGTTATAAAGGCAACTCTATTTCAAGCCCAACGTCCCAGTAGAAACACCAGAACAGACCATTATAAGACACCTGGGGTCGAGTGGGATCTTAGCTTCTACTGATTTTTGTTTACAAAAACTCTCCTCTCTCTTGCTTAAAAAAGTCCCCCAACACTGGGCCTGGTGGCGCACACCTTTAATCCCAGCACTTGGTAGGCAGAGGCAAGTGGATCTCTGTGAGTTCAAGGCCAGCATGGTCTACATAGTGAGTTCCAGGCCAGCTGGGATTACAGGGAGATCCTGTCTCAAAAAGACCCCCACCCCCCAAAAAGTTCCCCAACCTAAGTAAACAAGATCCTGAGAGTGAAAAGGAAAACCCGTTAGTTGATGGTTTCCTTGTGAAAACAAGCATTCTGGGGCAGTAACTCCTGGAGAGGTAGAGGATGCCTCTTGCCAAGATGTTTAGGTTGCTTCACTTCTTCAGAGCAGCTCAGCAATGCAGAGTCAACATTGCCATCCGTGTCAGGAGGGGTATAAAGGACACCCAGAGGAAAGAGAAAGAGTTCTAAGTCTTATGAGCAGAGTAAGGTGTCCATCTCCAAGTTCTTAGCTTTTTTTTTTTGGTCTGGGGGGGCAGTGTCCAGCCTCTGCTTCCTCCCCAGTGCTGGGATCAAAGGTGTACATTACCATGCCCTGCCTAGTTCTGAGGGTTTTTTTTGAGAACAGGGACTTGCTATGTAGCTCAATGACTACAAACCCTAACAACCCTCCTGCTTCAGCCTCCCAGTTGGTGGCATTACAGGCATATACCATCATAAAATTCTTTTCATTTTTATTTCTTTATTTATATATCTATTTTTTGGTCTTTTTGAGACAGGGTTTCCCTGTAGCCCCAGCTGGTCTGGAATTCACTATGTAGACCAGGCTGCCCTAGAACTCACAGGGATCCGCCTGCCTCTGCCTTCTAAGTACTGGGACTACAGGTGTGCACCACCACACCCAGCCTGTAAAATTCTTTTTAAAGAAATTCAGTATCTGAGTAGTGTATAGTTTCTTTTTTTCTTTTTGAGACAGAGTCTCCCTGTAGCCCCAGATGACCCGGAACTGGCTATGTAGACCTGGTTGGCCTTGAACTCAGAGATCCACCTGCCTCTGCCTCCCAAGTGCGGGATTAAAGGCGTGTGCCACCACGCCCAGCGTATATACTTTCTTTAAAAAATATTTCATTTGCTGGGCGTGGTGGCACATGCCTGTAGTCCCAGCACTTGGGAGAGGCAGAGGCAGGCAGATCTCTGTGAGTTCAAGGCCACCCTGGTCTACATAGTGAGTTCCAGGACAGCTGGGGCTACAGGGAGACTCTGTCTCAAAAAGAAAAAAAAAAAAAAAATTTCATTTATTATTTTTATTTTATGTGTATGAGTGAGTGTATTGCCTGCATGTATGATCACCCATGGAGATCAGAAGAGGGCATCGGATTCCCCTGGAACTGCAGCTAAGGACAGTTGTTAGCTGCCATTTGGGTGCTGGGAATCGAACCCATGTCCTCTGCAAGAGCAGCCAGTACTTTAATCATTGAGCCGTCTCTTCAGTCCCTGAGTAGTATATACTTTTGACCCACTCCAAAACATGGAGAGCTCACCACTAATTCTTCCCGAAGGAATTATAAAACAAATGAACACTGGGCCCGGTGTCAAAAAATGCCTAGGTTCTGGTCTTGGCTCTGCTAGTAAAGTAAATTAAAAACAAAAGACAAAAACCAAAAAAACCCAACTACAGACAAATTAAGCTGACTGATTGGTCTTTTTTGCCCATAAAAGGGAAAAACAACTTTTAAGGAGGTAAAAGTGTTTTTTTCTTTTTAAATATGGAATGCTTCACGAATTTGCATATCATCCTTGCGCAGAGGCCATGCTAATCTTCTCTGTATCGTTCCAATTTTAGTATATGTGCTGCCGAAGCGAACACGGTAAAAGTATTTTTTTAAAAAAACATTAAAAGATAGCCGGGCATGGCAGCACACACCTATAATCCCAGCAGGGGTAGAGGCAGGTGGATCTTTGTGAGTTCGAGGCCAGCCTGGTCTACACAGTGAGTTCCAGGTCAGCTGGGGCTACAAGGAGACCCTGTCTCAAAAAGACAAAAAACCCCAAAAACTCCCCAAAAGACCCCACATTAAAAGATGCAGAATTCCTAGAATAACACAACTCTCCTACTAATCTCAATTCTCTGGAACCCCTACACAAGTCAGACTGGTCTGTGAGGGAGAAAGAAAGTTTACCAGACATCATTTCTACTTCCTCTTGCAGCAAGTTACCTGTCGGTACCAGAGTATCGGATCCACCTCTGCCTGTCGGCCACACTCAGTGCCTGTCTTAGCTTCCGAGGCCTCCTTGCTTAGGTGGCTGGCCTCACTCAGCTTCACTTTAAGGCCTTCAGGGGTCTGGCTGGGGAGTTTTGATGAGTCATCCAATTTGGGAATGATGACTGATTTGGCAGGGTCAGCCCCTGGCTCCTTGGCCTTGCCAGGCCCTGACTTCACCAGGTCTGTCAGGCTGGGCGCCTTGGTGAGGGTTGGTGGAATTGATGGCTTTTGCTTCCACTCTTCCTTCAGTGCTGCCTCCCGCTCCTTCAGTCCCATCTCTGCCTTCTTGTCCAGCCCCCGAGGCTGCTGCTCCAAGCTCTGCCGTTTCTGCTGTTCTTCGTACTGTTGACGATAAGCCGTATTAGTGCTCAAGAGGTGGGTGTGGTAACTCTGGTCGCTGTAGCCATATGGGGGCACATAGGCATACTGGTTGTAGTACAGGGACTGCATGTACATGTTGGGCCGCTGCTGGATGACTGAGGGCTGCTGACTGGAACCGCTCAGCTCAGGTTTCTTTTCCTCACAAATGTCGTTCTTCACTTTCCCCTCTATGCTCTCAGGCTCCTCATCCTTTTTTGCCTTTAGGGTCTGGCCCTCCACTCCTGCCTGGCTGCTTGAGTTGAGAGCCCCCGGGCTGGACTGTGCATAACTTGGAGAGTAGTAACTCTCAAAGCCTTGGTAATATGGTGAGTCTTTGCTCTGTGGCTGGGGAGGGAAAAGTGTTTTCTTAGCTCCTTCTTTAACCAGCTGCTCAGGATCCTTTGATTTGACGTTGTCCACCTTGCCCTCCCCATCCTCCCCAGCATCAGAGATGTCAGAGTAGGCAGGGCTATTGGTTTTGACTGAGCTGGCCTCAGCCCCATTCTGGGTCACTACATGTAGGGGAGTCAGGGGCTGGGTTGGGGTAGTGCTATCTAGGCGACTGCTGCCTCCAATTGAGGGGCTGGGGGCATTGTCTGTAAAGCTGTAGATCTTATCTGCTTCAGCCTTGATACTAGCTAATCGACTTTGGTGGGGGTCTGAGGAGCCATTCAGAAGCCCCTCCATTTTTATCCCATCTCCTGAGGATTCTCGGAATGGGCTTTTACCTTCTTCCGCTCGGCACACCTTCCCAGGGGTCAGAGGACTTTCAAGTTCCTTTGATGATTCCTTCTTTTTTTTGTCTTTCTTTTTCTTGTCCTTGGCTGGGGTCAGGGCAGGGTTGACTGTGAAAGGTTCTCCCATAACAGTGGGCTTCGGCTGAATGGGTTTGAGTTGGGGACTACTAGGCATGGCTTGGACTACAGTGGTGGTCAAGCCTGAGGAGGAGCCTGGGCTTGTTGCAGTGAAGGTGGCTGTCTGGAAAGTGTAGATCTGCTGTGGGGGGATGGCAGGGGCAATGGGCCGGGCTGATTTTAAGCTCTTGGAAGGAATCTTTTCAGGCTTCAAATTGGAGGGCTTTTTACATTTTTCTTTTTCCATACACTTCCTTTCCAAAGAGTCAAAGGCATCGTTGCTTGTTTCATCCATTACTGAGGGTCCATCATCAGAGCCATCATTGGATAAGGCCCCAAGGTCTGTATCTCCCTCCCCACTCAACTTTTTCTTACAGAGGCCTTTTGTGCTGAATTTGCTTGAAGGGGAAGGGCTGTGAGGCTCAACAAGCCGAACTTTGGGGGTAGCTGAGCGGGCAGGGGACAAGGATCCTTTCTGTGAGACAGAGGCACCATTGCAGCTGCTGAGGTCTGTGTGGAGGCTGGGCTCCTCTCCGTATTCACTGTCTCCATCGGCTTCTGGCTTGCTGTCGTCATCTGTGTGGGCATGAGCTTGGTGGTACTTAAGTCCATTAATGTGCTTGTACTTCTTGTTGCAGTTTGGATGGGGACAGTCAATCAGGACTGGGGAAGGACAATTTCTGTCCACAATAGTGGGTTCCACCTTGGTCCCAGGGAGGGGGCCTGTGGCTGAGCCCATGGAATTTGTGCGGACACGCTTGCTCCCTTTGGAGTCCTCTGAGCTGGAATTCAGCTCCATATCTGAAAGGGGTTTGTTTTTCCTCTTATTAGCTGAGGAAGGGCTGGCCTTGACATCCTCAGAAGTGCTGCTGGCAGGTGGGCGGTGCTCTGAAGAATTCTGGCTGCCCCGCCGGCCTTTGCTATTGGCTCCCGCTCGGGTTTTACTGCTGTTGCTGGTCCCTTTGCCGTCAGCAGCAGTGGCTGCCTCGTTGACAGGCGTGTTACTGTTTGGGCGCATGCGTTTGCCTCTCCCTCTGCCATTACGCATTTCCAAGTCACTGGTTGGGGAGTCACAGAACCTTGGCAAAGGACAAAGGGGACAGATATTATTAAGAGTAAACATCTTGCCGGGCATGGTGGTGCATGCCTTTAATCCCAGCACTTGGGAGGCAGAGGCAGGCGGATCTCTGTGAGTTCAAGGCCAGCCTGGTCTATATAGTGAGTTCCAGAACAGCTGGGGCTACAGGGAGACCCTGTCTCAAAATGACCAAAAAAAAAAAAAAAAAAAAAAAAAAGAGTAAACATCTTTATTTTGTTTAGTGAGACATGGTCTCTCTATAATGAGTCATACCATGCTCAGCTTTGTTTTAGTTTGTTTTAAAAATTTTCAAGTAGGGGCTCACTCTGAAGCTCAGGCTGGCATGGGGCTCTCTAGGTAGCCAAAGCAAGCCCAACTTGCAGCAATCTTCCTGCCATAGCCTCTCAAGTGCTGGGATTACAGGAGTGAGCCACCATGCCCAGCCTCCATTTTAATGACCATGATTTCCTTTAGGAACCCGTGTGGGAAATGAATTAAGTGTCGATTTTCTGGGATGTTATCTGCATGCTAGCTAAACATTATTCCCCCATATTTTGAGTTCCTCAAGCTCTATCAGTCTGAGTACTAATATTAGGAACAAGCTATAAGAAGACATTCATTAAATTGCTAATTTTTTTTTACTGTACTTTTTTTTTTTTTTTGAGACAGGGTCTTCCTGTAGTCCCAGCTGGCCTGGAACTCACTATGTTGGCCAGGCTGGCCTCAAACTCACACCTATCAAGTGCCGGGATTAAAGATATGTGCCACCATGCCCAGGTGGAATGTTAGTTTTAAGATGAAACTACATCTTGAAAGTAAGGCCAGGCTTGGCAACACCTATCTGCTGTAGTCCAAGCACTCAAGAGGCTGAGAAAAGAAAAGCTTGGTGGCTTTTTTTTTTTTTTTTGGTCTTTTTGAGACAGGGTCTCCCTTTAGTTCCAGCTGGCCTGGAACTCACTATGCAGACCAGGCTGGCCTTGAATGCACAGAGATACGCTGCTTCTGCCTCTCAAGTGCTGGGATTATGAGGCATGTGCCACCATGCCTGGAGTCTTGGTACTCTTAAAAATTTTTTATTTATTCATTCATTTTTATGTGTATGAGTGTTATGCCTGCATTTTCTAAATGAATCCATGTCATGCAGTACCCATGGAGAACAAAAGAAGGCTTTGGATCCCCTGGAACTGCAGTTACAGATGGTTGTTTGCCGCCATGTAGGTGCTAGGATTTGAACCTGGGTCCTCTGCAAGAGCAGCTAATGATCTTAACTGCTGAGCCATCTCTTCAGCCCCTCACCTTGGTTTAAAGGCAGCCTGATCTGTATAGTGATTTCCAAGACAGCCTGGGCTACAGAATGAAACTCATTGCCCCCTGCCAAAAGTAAACGTAGTCAGGTGTGGTAGTTCAAGTCTGTAATACCAGTACTTGGCCGTGTTTGAGTTTGAGGCCAGCTGGGGCTACAACTCTAGTGGGATAAAGATACAAGAATTCAGTAATTAAATGGTGGTTCAGATCAATATAAACTAGACAGCAGTAAGTGCTCACCTTGGGGGTGCCCAATCATGCCTTGTGCAGTCAAGAAGTGTACCTACGTATGTTTTGTTCCTCCATGTCACATTTACCACCAACATCCCTGGAAAACAAGAAGACATAGATTAAAAAAAAAAAAAAAAAGACAGGTATGGATGAGACAAAGTGCTGGTCATTGAGAAGACTACTCTTCATCTGAGCAGCACTGACTTCAATGAGAGTTCAAGGACGTTTAGTACCAACGGACAGATATGGTGGGCCATAACAGTTCCATGAGTGACAAGTGCCTACAGTACTCTTGGGACCCTCTGGATGGGCAACAGTTCAAAGACTTCATAGCCTAGTCCAGACATATTTTTTCTTTGCTTTTTTATAGACAGGGTCTCATGTATCTGAGGCCGTTCTCAACTTGCTATGTAGTTGAAGATAACCTTGAACTTCTGAGTCTCCTTCCACTTCTTGAGTGTTGGGATTACAGACATGCCCCACTATACCAGGTTTTATGGTGCTGGGGATGGAACCCGGGCTCTGTGCATGCTAGACAAGCATTCTACATTCTACCGACTGAGCCATGTTCTTAAGTCTTCCCAGTTGTTTTTGTTTTGTTTTGTTCTGAGACAGAGTCTCACTACTAAGTAGTCAAGTCTAGCCTCAAAACTATCTAGCTGAGGATGGCTTTGAATGCCTCTACTTGCTAAGTTCTGAGTTTATAGGTATATAACACCATGCCTGGTTTAATGGATTTATTTTAACTGGGTTCAAATATTTCAGTGAATGATTTGACTACAATCTATTGTATTCTTTTGTTGGTGGATATCTTAGGTTTTCTGGTACACTTTCACTGTTTTTTGCTGGCTTTTTTTTAACTTTTAAAAAAATTTTTATTTTTTTAATTTTATATGTGTGCGTGTATTGCCTGCATGTGTGTAAGTAGACCTGTGTCATGCAATGTCCACAGAGGTCAGAAGAGGGTGTCAGATCTGGAATTGGGAGTTATAGACGATTGTTAGCTACCATGTTGGGTGCTCAGGAACGTGGGTCCTCTGCAAGAGCAGCCAGTGCTCTTAACTGTTGAGCCATCTTTCCAGCCCTATTTTGCTGTTTTAAAAAATATTTTAGCTGGGCATAGTGGCCCATACCTTCAATTCCCACACTTGGGAGGCAGAGGCAGGGGGACGGATCTCTGTGAGTTCAAGGCCAGCCTGGTCTACATAGTGAGTTCCATGTCAGTTGGGGCTACACAGAGATCCTATCTCAAAAAGACCAAAAACAAAACAAAACAAAACATTAAAAATTAAAATGAAGTATAGGGGCTGGAGAAATGGCTCAGTGGTTAAAAGCACTTCTTGCTCTTAAACATCCAAGGTTCTTCCAGTTATATGTATATAAGGAACTATATTACTATATTCTTGTGCCCGTGAGATGGCTCAGTGACTAAAGGTACCTGCTACCAAGACTGCCAACTTGCATTTGATCCCCAGAACCCACGTGGTAGGAGAGACCTTGCTCCTGCAAAGTTTCCCTTGACCTCCATATGCATACTGCAGAGCATGCTCCCTCTTCCCTCAGGAAGAGATTCTTCCTGAAATTGTAGTAGGACAGTAGCAATATAAACACATTGCTCTGCACACTGCTTTCTTTCATGTATGTGGTCATTCAAATAAGTACACAGAGAATCAGTCTTTCGTCTCCTCTCTGACTGCACTGGGGATGATACCTAGGACTGTGTGCATGTTAGAGAAACACTATCACTGAGCATTAGTTTTAGCTCTTGCTTTTTTATTTTTTTTTTTAGGTTTATTATTTTTATTTTATGTATATGAGTGTATTGCCTGCATGTGTATAAGTGCATCCATGCCGGAGGAGGTCAGAAGTGTGTGTTGGATTCCCCTGGAACTGGAGTTAGGGATGGATGTTAGCTGCCATGTGGGTGCTGGGAATTGAACCTGGGTCTTCTGCAAGAGCAGCTGAGTCATCTCTCCAGTTACATAGCTCTAGCTTTTTCAGAGACATGGTCTCATTACGTAATTCAAATTCCAACGTAGCCCTGGCTGGCCTCAAATTCCCAATTCCCTTGCCTCTGTTTCTTGAGTTCAGGAAAGACAGTATGTATGTATGTATGTATGTATGTATGTATGTATGTATGTATTTATTTTTGGTCTTTTTGAGACAGGGTCCCCCTGCAGCCCCAGCTGGCCTGGAACTCACTATGTAGACCAGGCTGGCCTTTAACTCAGAGAGATCCGCCTGCCTCCGCCGCCCAAGTGCTGGGACTACAGGTGTACGCCACCACGCCTGGCTGAAAGTATTAAAAAAAATACTGCCTTTTGAATAGACATTTATAAACATTTTAGCTCTGCTTAACTCAGATAATGTTTAGAAGATAAATTTCTGTAAGTAACACTGCTAATCACAGGGCACTTGGTTTTGTTGGAGAAATACTGTCAAGCTGCTTCAGAGAGAAATGTACTAACTTACCCATCCCTTAGTACTTCGGGAAATGCCTCTTATGCCCTTCCCTTTTCTGACAGTACTCTCAAACTTTGTAGGGAATTATTTGTTTTGAGATAGGGTCTCTCTCTGTGGTCCAGGCTAGCTCAAAACTGTTGGTGATCTTGCCGCCTTAGTCTCCCGGGTACTAGGATTACAGGTATGTGTAAGCCAACATGCCTGGCTTACTGCTTCTTTTTTTTTTTTTTCACTTTTTATTATTTTTATTTTTTATTAATTTATTCATATTTTTTGAGACAGGGTCTCTCTTTAGCCCCAGCTGGCCTGGAACTCACACAGATCTCTCCGTCTCTGCCTCTGGAGTGCTGGGATTAAAGGAGTGTACCACTACACTCAATCTTGCCTTGATTTTGAGATGAGGTTTTGCTATTCATCCCAAGCTGGCCTTGCTCCCACTATGGAACTCAAGCTAGCCTCACATTTGCAGCAATTCTTCCATCTCAGTCTCCCAAGTATTGGGATTATAGGAATGAACCATGTTCCACAAACAGAGAAGCAGGGTTGGAGTTTATTAAGAAGAGTTTTTTTTTGGGGGGGGGGTTGGTCTTTTTGAGACAGGGTCTCCCTGTAGCTCCAGCTGTCCTGGAACTCACTATGTAGACCAGGCTGGCCTTGAACCCACAGAGATCCGCTTGCCTCTGCCTTCCAAGTGCTGGGATTACAGGCGTGTGCCACCATGCCTGGCTAAGAAGAGATTTTTCACAGTTTTAAGCACAGGGATTAACAGGAAAAAGACGGACATACACAAGCCTGAATGTGAGCTTCAAGAAGACTCACTTCCTTCTAGAACCCTTTTAACCTCTGTGAATTTAATATAAGAATTCTGGCCAGGCATGGTGGCGCATGCCTTTAGTCCCAGCACTTGGGAGGCAGAGGCAGGTGATCTTTTTGTGAGTTCGAGGCCAGCCTGGTCTACAGAGTGAGTTCCAGGACAGCTGGGGTACAGGGAGACCCTGTCTCAAAAAGACCAAAAAAACAAACAAACAAAAACTGCTTTGTCCAGATCTAATTTTTCTTATGTGTCTATACAAAATTTCTTTAAAAGGAATTATTTAAAATATTTATATTACCTTTCTAGCAAACCACTCATATTCATTGTTCCTTTAAAAAATTTTAAACTGATGTTTGTGATTCTCATACAATATTTGATGATACTTAGATTCCCCACCCCTCTCTGTACCCCTGGTCCCCCTCTTTGTTTCTTTAACATTTTTTAAAAAATTTGTGTGTGTGTGTGCACGCGCGCGTGCACGTGCATGTGTACACATGCCACATGTATATGGGTTCCTGTGGAGGCCAGAAGAGGGCACTGTATTGTTATAGTTACAGATAGTTGTTAACTGCCTGACATGGGTGCTGGAAACCAAACTTGGGTCCTCTGGAAGAACAGCAAGTGCTTTTAGCCACTGAGCCATCTCTCCAGACCCTTTTTTTTTTTTCCTTCTACTGAATTACTGTTCTATTTCTTAATTATAACTTTTTTTTTTTTTTTTGTCTTTTTGAGACAAGGTCTCCCTGTAGCCCCAGCTGGCCTGGAACTCACTAGGTAGACCAGGCTGGCCTCGAACTCACAGAGATCTGCCTGCCTCTGCCTCCTGAGTGCTGGGATTAAAGGCATGCACCACCACGCCTGGCTTCTTAATTATAACTTCTTAAAAAATTATTTTTCTTTCTTTTTAAAAATATTTTATTTATTGTTTTTATTTTATGCGGATGCGTGTACTGCCTCCATGTAGGTAAGTACACCTGTGTCATGCAATGCCCGTGGAGGACAGAAGAGGCTGTTGGATCCCCTGGAAGTGGAGTTATGGACAGCTGTTAGCTGCCATGTGGGTGCTGGGATTCGAACCCAGGTCTTCTGCAAGAACAGTCAGTGTTCTTAACCGCTGAGCCATCTCTCCAGCCCTTTCTTTCTTTTTCTTTTTAATGTATATGAGTGTATCGCCTGCATGTGTGTTAGTGTACCCATGCTGTGCAATGCCCGTAAAGGTCAGAAGAGGGTGTCAGATACCCTGGAACTGGAGTTACAAACAGTTGTTAGCTGTCATATGGGTGCTGGGGATCAAACCCGGATCCTCTGCAAGAGCAGCCAGGGCTCTTAACCACTGAGCCATCTCTCTAGCTCCAATTATAACTCTTAATATCACAGAATAAAGTCTTACTAATACGAATTTTTTTTCAGTAGGTTATTTACTAACGGAGGCTAATGACATGCAGAAATTATTTTTATGTTACTTTTATTAACTTTTTATGGCTTCTGAGTTCTTCATCTTATTTCAAAAATCTTTCCCATCATATGTACTATTTTATTAACAGTGGGGTTTTTTTTGGGGGGGGGGCAGCCAAATAGTGGAGGAAGACCTTGAACTGATCCATCTGCCTCCACTTCCAAGTGTAGGAATTACATGCACCTGCTACCCCAAACCAGTTTATTTGGTGCTGGAGCTCAGAATAAATAAAAATGTAAAACAAGGGGTTGGAGAGGTGGCTCAGAGGTTAAGAGACAGTATAGCTGCTCTTCCAGAGGACCCAGGCTTAGTTCCTAGCACCCACATCAAGCCTGGAACTCACTATGTAGACCAGGCTGGCTTC